GGGCGTAGCCTTCCGGGGGTTGTGCAGTCACGCGCAATCGGTAGACTCCCACAACAACAGACACCATGGAGGGCATCGACCTCTCCGCCCTTAGCGGGGAAGAGTTACAGCAAAAAGTGGAGGAGATCGTCCAGCAACAAGTACAAGCCGAACTCGAAGCCAACAGGACCAACAAGGGTGAAGTCACCTACGCCCAACCACCATCAGCCGGCAACCCAGTCCCACCTACCGACAGCCAGCCATCATCCTCCAGCAAGGGTAAAACAGCTACTTTCAACGACCCCAGCAGCGTCGCACACATCGTGGAGCAAGCGGCCAAGGCGACAGCTGAGGCCATCGCTGAACAACAGGGCTTTGCCCGCTCAGGCACGTTACGTGTCAATCCTGGCTCAGAAATAGAACCTTGGCTTGGTAGCGCGAGGAATGAGCAGGATTTGTATATTTTGTTTGATATTTTTCGTAGTAAGATTATTTCATATTTTCAGGAGGAGGGTGTGCATGATGCGTTGGAACTGGAGGTCGAGGTCAAGGTCGGAAAGAGGGGTGTGAATATAGGAGACCTTCGGAGACTTTTTGGGAATGAAGTGGCAGACAAGTTATTCAACCTGTGGAATATCCTGATTAGTAAAGTTTTGTATCCCCCGATTCAGAGCTTAATTCTGGCGTGTGAGAGTCCCCAAAAGGGCTGGAAAATCGTGACAGAATTCTATCAGGAGAAAAAGCAGTCAGAAAAGTCGAGGTTGGAGCAGGTCTGGAAAGAGTTGGAGATGAGAGAATCCGAGAGTCCACAGGATTACATTGCCCGCTCAGAGGCCCTTCGCCTGCGTCTCGCATCTGTAGGTACGATTAAGGATGAAACAGATGCCAACAAAGACATTGCTCGTGGCCTTCCCTCTTCGTTGTATGCCGTGCAAAAAGGAATACTGCTTGCCCATGATGTCCTGACGTTGCGTACCCTTGAGACTGTGGTGAGGGACGCCCACGTGGAGATGGAGCGCGAGAGGAGCAAGGGGGAGAGGCGCGAGGTGGAGCTCGCTCTCGCCGCGTCCGGCATGGGCCGGCGCGGCGGGGGAAGTGGGGGGGCATCCGGCGGTCAAGACGGCGGTCAGGCAGCAGCTGGCGGCCAAAATCGTGACGGAGAGAAGAAAAATAGTGACGTGTTGAACGACGACCCCGGCGGATTTTGCCGCTACCACCAGTCCGAGCTTCACACCAACGAGCAGTGTCGTCTCCAGCAGCAACTGCGGCGTGCGCGTTCGAGAGAGGGCCGCGGAACGCCGCTCGGGCGGCGGCAGCCGCGGTGGCGGCGGTAGCCAGCGAGGGGGTAGACCGCCGCCGGGGCCAGGCCGCAGTGGCGGCCGATGGGTGAGGCTAGCACCACACCGGTCATGGTGGCGGTGGCTGGAGCCAAGCCTCACCCCCCCCGAGACCTCTTCCTGGACGTGGGCCTGGTGGTCGTCTGGGGCGTCACCCAGGGGGTCGTGGGCCCGCGGGACGCCACAGCAGCGACGGGCGTGCCGAGAGGAAACGGGCAGAGAGAGGCCCGGGGCACGCGCGTTCTGGCCACGGAAGAGAGCAGGCGTACGTTGTGTACTACGCCCACGATGATGGAGGCTACTACGAAGACTACGGCGACTACGACGACCGCTACTCCTACGAAGACGGCTACCACGACGCCGGGTACGCCCACCACGCCGGCGGTGGGGACAGCCACAGCTACCCCTCAGGGTACGACGACAGCCGTTCATCTGACGGCGGCATCCACTACGTGTACTACCCTCCTGCCGGCGAAGATTCGTCATCCGAGCAGCAACGTCAGCCCCCCCCCGCGAGCAGCAGCAGCACCGCTTCCTCCTCGTCCTCTACTCCTTCTCCTGGCGCGCCTCCATCTTCGGGCTACCTCCACCTCTGCACGGCACAATCGGTACCCCTAGGCAAGTCTCACCCTGACGATTTTTTTGGTATGATAGGAGTGACGATTGGAGTAGAGTCTGCTGCGTCTGCTTCGTTTTTGCTGAGTGTGGAATCTAGTGAGGGGCCGCCTGGTAGCGAGAGATGGGTAGCTGACTCAGGAGCCAGCAACAGTTTTACAAACAGCAGCCTGCACATGTACGACTTGCAAGAGATCCCCGCGAGTAGNTCCTGACGATGTTTTCAGTAGGATAGGAGTGACGATTGGAGTAGAGTCTGCTGCGTCTGCTTCGTCTTTGCTGAGTGTGAAATCTAGTGAGGGGCCGCCTGGTAGCGAGAGATGGGTAGCGGACTCAGGAGCCAGCAACAGTTTCACCAACAGCAGCTTACACATGTATGACCTGCAAGAGATCCCCGCCAGTAGGAAGTATGTCGTTGTAGGTGATGGTCGACTGCTAGAAGTGCAACCCATCGGTAGTATTAATCTTAGTTTCTTTCAGGAGGATGAGAATGGTGGGAAAACGACGATGTGTGTGAAGCTCACTGATGTGTGTTGTAGAGAGCCTGAGTTTCAACTTGTTCTCAACGCATGTTGTTTCTCNCCCATCGGTAGTATTAATCTTAGTTTCTTTCAGGAGGATGAGAATGGTGGGAAAACGACGATGTGTGTGAAGCTCACTGA